CCTCCTCCATTGATTTTACATTTGGTGCAATCCACTCTACCAAAGTTGCCTCACAACGCAGATAGGGATAAACAGAGACTTCAATTCCAACGTCTCTATATATATAATGGTGGCGGTGTAATCAAGCAGTTTTGGGACTTCCTTATAATTTATGCTGAAATTAGGTGGATTAACATACATATTTACGTAATTTTGGTAATCCCATTTAGGTGGGATTACGCTTCCTTACAAGATTAATTCATATCTGTATCAGAAGTCACCTTCTAGCAGAAGTCAGGGCATGGGGAGGGAAACTTGGAAGAAGACCTTTTAGATGGTGAGACTGTGACTGTGGAATGCATTTCACTAGAAAGTAAGGCTGCTTGGTTAATTATTTGTGGCAGCTCTGTGGCTATCCTGGAGTACATGAGGTCTTGGGCTTCTCTTAACAGAAGATTCCCAGCATGGGTGTTGAATCCCCAGCATGACATGCCAGGGGAACCCCAAGACCACTGACAAGAATAACTCAGTCAGTTCAAGAAGAGAATATTCGACAGTGGGCTGGAAGGGGTGTTACACCTAAAAAATGTGTAATCTGAATTACACCTTTACAGAAATGCATTCAAATTTAGCATACTGGGGCACAGGGCACCCGATGAAGGGGATATGAACCACTGTAACTGTACATCCATATTCCCAAAGCCTTGTCTGCTACAATACATTCCTAAGTTCATACAGCTAGAAGCACATTTGCACCACAGAATAATAGCACTATTATTCCACTTTACTGTCATGGTTCCATCCTATGAAACCCTACATTTTGTAGTTTTATGAGGAATTAGAGCACTCTGGCTGAGAATTCTAAATGCTGTTAAAGGTTATACCCTAAACTACAAAACCCATAATTACGCAAGAGGCAGTGGATTCATTCTCTAGTGTGATGAGGCCATAAGGCATGTTTAAAGCTACTGAGCTGATCAGACCAACTTATTTTCATGAACTTAAACTGAATACTGGAAACATTATAAATATTATTTCTCTGAAATTGTTTCTTTGTTTAGAAATCTCTTTTCATTCCTAAAATATTTATTTAGTTTATCAACCCTCCAAATAATGAAATATTTACTTTTTTAAGTGAATAAATAAACAAAACTAAAACAGACTAAGAAAAAATAGCAATTGGAGATATCTGAATATCTCCATACAATTAAAACATATTTATTTAAATATAGTAAAATCATCAGCAATGAGTATCTATATAGCTTAAAATCTCGAGAATGCAGTTTCCAAAACCATAGCATACAGAAAACCAAAATCTTCCTTTCAAACAGTGTAGCCAATACACCACAGGTTTGCCATGTGAAGAAATACTCATATTGTACCACCAGGTTTTAAAGTACAAGTGATGAAATCTGTATATAATGAGATTTCAATAGTCAACCAGCTGATTTGTTTTATTCATTTATCTGCATATCATAACTAATGATCAGATAAGGCTCACCAGCATAATACAATTTGTGTGTGTGTATGTTATATAAAATATTTTATAACATACAAATGAAGATACCCTCCAAAAAAACAAAAACAAAAACACAGGACTCTTTCAAAATAAAACCTTTTGAAGTGACAAAAGTTATAGACTGGACCAACAGTATTAACCACTGTTTCAACTAATCATGAAAAAAAATTCCTGAGGTCATTTGTTCCTAAGCCACGTACACACATCTTGTCAGCTAAAGCCAGCATATGAGCACATTACTTTTACTGGAAAAAAAAATACTGCCAATCCCGGAAAATGAGGTTGTGTTGGAAGTATAAATAGCAAATTCCACAACTACAATCCAATATAAATAAGAGCACGAATCTTCTCTTTTGTCTCTAATCGGTTTAATTTTTTAAAAAATTAAGAATCACACTGACTTTTTAAAAACAATAAGATAAAGTATCTTTTTCAGCTTTCCAAACTATAAAGGATGAATTTAAATATATTTATTTTAGGGATAACAGAGTTGTGAAATATTGTAAAATACCTTTTAAATTAGCTTATTCATAATGGTCATCATCTTTATTTTCAGCTGATATATGGTTAAAATATATTAAAGGATTTTAGCAAAATAAATCCCATAGAATATACAGAAATACATTTAAGAGACTTTATTTATAATATAGGAAACATTATAATTGCATAGTTATAAATGAGTCGATGAGAAAAGACAAATTCAAAACTCATTCACTTGCTCAAAGTCTGATTTGTTAGATCACTGTGGCTAAATGATCAAAAGAAATGCAGGAAAGTGGCTTGAGCAAAGCTGTATATTGACTTTTTCCTTTTCCTTTGATAATACCTACAATGAATGAAACCATGCAAGATGGACTATACAGGTTATTACAACGCTATTACATGGACAGCAACTTTGTTCAGGGTGACTTAAAAGAAAATGACATTGTCTTAAAGAACAGGAAAAATGTGTTAGTACATAATAGTCAAGGGGATTTTTTTCAAGACACATTTCTTAAAACAAAGAAATTTCTCCTAAAACTCAGAAATAATGTTAACTTTAAAAATCTGGATAGTTTTGGGAGAAATTATCCACTTTTACTTAAACCAGGGGTACACAACATATGGCCTGCAGGCCATATGTGGGCCTCCAAAGAATTCTGGGTGGACCGCATAGCCACTTCTGCCTTTTGTCTACACCCACCAAGGAGGCAAGCATGCAGTGTTGGGTGCATGGCCAGCCAATGAAAGGCTTCTGTGCTAGACTACAGGGCTGCCCATTCCCAGCATCACCAGTGGAGGAAGATCCTCAGTGGGGGCTGTGGGAAGGGCAGGGCCCATCACTGGCCTTTCCCCAATGTCAAGCTGGTAGACAGGGCAAAGCCAGCACACTATACTTCAGCAGGGCTCCTTGCCACCCCAGAAACATCAGTTGTAGCCACCTTCTCCTTTGTTGCTTCCCTCCTTGCTCACCCAGAGCCCGTATATCAGTTGGGTGGCCGGGAGGGGGGGGGGAGAGCAAGTATTACAAGCTACATTACTATTTATGTATAGTTTGTAAAGTTAAAAGAATACTGTGGAAAAGGGAGGTGTTTGGAATAAAAGTGGCCTCCCTTTTGCGTTCATGCACTTTCTAGTCCCTGCTGAAATCTTTAAAGAGGGAGGCCCTGAGCTGACACAACTCCACCAGCTCATTGAAAAAGTGTGGGTGATCGAGAAAATCCCAGCAGATCCCTCTCAGAAGACACCCTCCCAGAATGGCTTCCGCCCCTCCAGAGGAACAGTGGACATGATCTTCACTGCACGACAGCTCCAAGAAAAATGCAGGGAACAAAATCAATCACTGTACATGGCATTCATTGACCTTGCAAAGGCATTCGACACAGTGAATTGCAGCACTCTCTGGACCATCCTCCAAAAAATTGGGTGCCCTAACAAATTTGTGAACATCCTGCGGCCCCTCCATGATGACATGATGGCAACAGTCTTGGACAGCAATGGCTCCCAAAGTGACCCATTTAAGGTGGAATCAGGTGTCATACAAGGATGTGTTATTGCCCCAACTTCGTATGCTGATGACATCATCTGTGCGCATTCAGAAGAAGACCTACAAGCCATTCTAAACACCTTTACAGAAGCATACGAGAAGCTGAGCCTGTCATTGAACATTGAGAAAACCAAAGTCCTCTTCCAGCGGTCACCAGTCAATCTCTCTCCAATGCCAGAAATACAGCTTAATGGTGTAACGTTAGAAAATGTTGACCATTTCCACTACTCTGGCAGTCACCTCTCCACAAAAGTCAACATTGACACTGAAATTCAACACCACCTGAGCTCTGCGAGTGCAGCATTTTTCCGAATGAAGCAGAGAGTGTTTGAGGACTGGGACATCCGTAAGAATACCAATTTGCTTGTTTATAAAGCTATTGTCCTCCCACCCCTCCTATACGTCTGCAAGAGGTGGACAGAGTACAGACGTCACATGCAACTCCTGGAACGATTCCATCAGACTGGTGACTGCTGGAAGAGGACTTCGGTTTTCTCAATGTTCAATGACAGGCTCAGCTTCTCGTATGCTTTGCCTTGGAAAAATCCTGCAAATCTCCTGGGAAGACAAGCGGACAAATGTCAACATGCTGGAAGAAGCAAAGACCACCAGCATTGAAGCGATGATCCTCCGCCATCAACTCCGCTGGACTGGCCAAGTTGTCCAGATGCCCAACCATGGTCTCCCAAAGCAGTTGCTCTATTCTGAACTCAAGAATGGAAAACGGAATGTTGGAGGACAGGAAAAGAGATTTAAAGATGGGCTCAAATGCAACCTTAAACACTCTGGCATAGACACCAAGAACTGGGAAGCCCTGGCCCTTGAGCGCTCCAGTTGGAGGTCAGCTGTGACAAGCAGTGCTGTAGAAGTTGAAGAGGCATGAATGGAGGGTGAAAGAGAGAAATGTGCCAAGAAGAAGGCACATCAAGCCCCCAACTGGTACCGCCTTCCACTTGGAAACCAATGCCCTCACTGTGGGAGAAGATGCAGATCAAGAATAGGGCTCCACAGCCTCCTACAGACCCACCACCAGAACACTGACCTTGGAGGACAATCATCCTCAGACTACAAGGGATTGCCTAACTGCAAACTGCAGTCAACTCTATACTCTCACCACCCTACTGCGATTCCCCTCGGGCACCTGTGCCCCATTCTATGTTGTGCTGGTCATAGACCGTAATAAATCATTGATTGATTGATAACTCTAACCACCCTTCTCTATTAGCGGGCTTCTCCCTTCTCCATTGTCACCAGCTTACGACCATGTACATTCAGATTTGAATTTTAAATCACACCGGGAATCAGGGATCTAATTCCTTGCTTTTTGATCTATGAAGAAAAGTTGCAGGAAGACAAGACGAGTATCAAATTGATATATGCCACACGGGATTTGCACAGCACCCATTGGAAAGTTGATGAACTATAGATTAACTATAAAATCTTCATCTATAATATAAGGAAATACAGTATACTTACAGAATTGTAGGCTAAGGCTCAGAACAGCTAATAAGGCTGCCACAGCCAACAAGAACAGGAAACGATTTCGGAAAAACATTATTATTCTTTCTGATTCTTCTTCATGGTTTCAACTCCATAGTCAAGGTATTTCCTGCTGATAGAAACACAAAGGATTTATTATGGATAGCCATTAATAAATTAGTCTTCTAAAAAATATTGGCATTAAGAACAATAGAGATAATTAACAAACTGGGTTGTTGTAGGTTTTTTGGGCTGTATGGCCATGTTCTAGAAGCATTGTCTCCTGACATTTCTAGAACATCACCATGCAGCCCAAAAAACCTACAAAAACCCAGTGATTCCGGCCATGAAAGCCTTCGAAAATACAATTAACAAACTATTATTTCTTTATTTTACTTATCTACAATGTCAATGTGGAAGAAGTTAATTTAATTTATTTCTCTGATTTATTCTTGCACTTCTTTTTGCCTTTTTGGGCTATTCAGATGCAAACACAGAATCATAGAATTGGAGGAGAACCAAGGGCCATCCAGTACAACCCTGTCATGAAGGAACAGGGGGTTGGACTGGATGGCCCATGAGGTCTCTTCCAACCCTATGGTTCTATGATTCTATGAACCATAGAATCAAAGCACTCCTCACAGGTGGCTACCCAGCCTCTGCTTGCAAACCTTCAGAGAATGAGATTCTACTACATCCCTCTGCAGTATATTCCACTGTTGAACAGCTCTAACCATCAAGAAGATCTTCATAATGTTTAGGTGAAATCTCTTTTCCTGAAGTTTGACTCCATCATAGATGGTCTCAAAATAAATAAATTATAGCGTTTTTACCAGAGAAAACATCTCTCTAAGAATTTCTAGGTCTTCCACCACAACTCTATGGTCAATTTCAACTGAAGCTGACCACAGAATCGCATTAAATAATGTAGAGTGTCCCAGAAAGGTGTTTTTAAATCTCTAGGTCCTCTAACATGACTCGATTTGAACAAAGAGTCACACTGGAGGACCTACAGATTCCTAGAGAAAACATTTTTGATAAAATCCATAAAAGTCAAAACCACAAATGTGAAGGGATGAATGTATTTCTTCAGCCAACTTCTTTCCTGGCTGGAATAAAGGAGAAAATGGAGAAACTCTGACAGCAACCTTCTCAAAAACCCTCAATTTTCCTCCTTCCCTGCTCTCACAGCTATGCAAGAAAATATGATCACATTTCAGCACTTTTCAGCAGGGGTTTTATGTGCACGCAATGGAGCAAATCTTGTGTATCAATAAGATGTACAACATGGTTTCACAACCACTGTGTTAGAAGTGCAGATTAAGAACAGAACATAGATATATCATAGGAGCTATGAATGGGTGAATTGGGAGCTAGGCTCAAACACTGAAACAGAAGAATGCCCCAGTGGAAAAAATTCTCTCTCAAGTACTCATTCACCAATCACTAATGAGATCCAATCACAGGAACACTTGCAACTGCTGCTACTACTAATCCATTTCTTTTCTCTTCACAAAGCCAAGCAATCATACAGACATATAAAGCTATTCCTCATTTCTACAGCCATTCAGCTCATACATAAGGCATATATAGCAACAGAACAGTGAAAAGCTAGTTTTTCCCCTGTAGAATTTGTTTTTGTATTCACAGGATGTTTGTGACTCTCTGAAGTGTGTGACACAGAACTCACCAGTACAAGAGCAGACATCACAAATATACAGTTATTTTAAAAAGCTGCATTTGTTGCCAATGTTTGCAGCTAATAAAGGCAAATGTGGCTGAGGCAGATAGCTAACTGCATGTGGTCACTGATAGTTACAATCCTTTTTAAAATGCATTACATTGCCTTAGACACACACCTTTTTCTCCATGAAATCTATGGCTAGGCAAGGAACCTGAAGTTTATTGAGTTTGTATGGTTCCCACAAAGTTAACGCACCACAATGGGATTCCTTCTATACTACAGTATACATCTGGAAGCGCTAGGGTAAATGCACAAACTAACGTGTAGAAAAATACTTCTGCTAAACAATTGGTCACAAAATGAAGATAAATATGGGTCCCAAACACAGCCTACCTGAGGAAGACACTCCTCTTCTCACTGGTTTCCTGATCTGTTATTTTCCCCACAGTGCTCCCTGCAAGATTTTTGCAGTAAATTTTCTGAATCATAGATACTATTCTTCTTAACTGGAAAAATGACATGTCCTGGGTTTTATAGTTTAGGTCATGTGTTAAACTTAAACAGTCTACTTGCAGAAACTGCCAAAAATCTGTTTAGCATTGCTGTATTGTACACAATGGTGGCAATGTCAGAAGGCTGATAACCATCTGGTTTGACTTAATCACTCTGGGACATTACCCTCTTGGGCTCTGCAACACAAATATGAAAAGTGTTCATGCTAAACCACATGGTTAGCAGTTTTTATTTTTATCTGGCATACAAAAACACTAGACACTTTTCCATGAGGTAGCTGTATCATTAGAACCAACTCATTATTCTACCACTTTAGAACATCAGCAGCTGTCTCACAGAGAATAAACACATTATTATACTGAATCACTGTGACAACTTAAATAGATTGATTAAAATGCCCTGTCTCCATAATAATCAATAGCACTCTTCAGTGTCTGCCTCCATGAAATCACTGTGCTTATCTGGTATGAAGAATCTAAATGTCACAAAACCACCATGACATGAACAAGCACAATCACTGTAAGGTAGATACTCAAAGATACAAAATAAAAACAGACATAATATACCTATGGCAGCATTCACTAGAAAGATAAAGAAATAGCTACTTCCCACTAACATATATTCTCCAAGAACATTATATAAATTGAGTATCCCTTATTCAAAATGCTTGGTACCAGCATTTTGGATTTGAATTATATATGTGTGTGTGTGTGGATTTGGATTTTGGAATAGTCATATTTGTTTCTTCATAAATAATGAGATACGTTGGAGATGTGACTCAAGTCTCAACATGAAGATCATTTATGTTTCATATCAGTTTCATAAGCATAGCTCTAAAGTAATTTTATGCACAATATCTCTATATATATATAAATGCTCTGAGCATAATGAGTACCTTAAAAACAAAAGAACCAATGAACAAAATCACACCAAATTTGGCAACAAAATGTCTCACAACACAAGGAGTGACCATCACTCAAAAAATTATGATTTTGTCATTTGGGAGTTGTAGTTGCTGGGATTTATAGTTCACCTACAATCAAAGAGCATTCTGAACTCCATCAACAATGGAATTGAACCAAACTTGGCACACAGAACTCCCATGACCAACAGAAAATTCTGGAAGGGTTTGGTAGGCATTGACCTTGAGTTTGGGAGTTATAGTTCACCAACATCCAGAGAGCACTGTGGACTCAAACAGTGATGGATCTGGACCAAACTTGGCACAAGCACTCAATACGCCCTAATATGAACACAGATGGAGTTTGGGGAAAATAGAGCTTGACATTTGTGAGTTGTAGTCACTGGGATTCACAGTTCACCTAAAATCAAAGAGCGTTCTGAACCGCACGAATGACAGAATCAGGGCAAACTTCCCACACTCAACCCCCATGACCAACAGAATATACTTAAGGCCATCCAATCCAACTCCCTTCATCAGGGCAAGAAAACATAATCAAAGTCCTCCTGACAAAGAGCCATCCAGCCATAGATAGATAGATAGATAGATAGATAGATAGATAGATAGATAGATAGATAGAGATAGATAGATAGATAGATAGATAGATAGATAGATAGATAGATAGACAGACAGATAGATATGATTCACACAGAGAGAGATATCGTATCATAGATTTGAAAGGGACCCTTAAAGAAGGACAATACCTATGTTGCATGTTCCAGGTAGGCAAACCAGACAATCTCCACATCAACACTGACAAAGAAACCGCAAGAAATACTGTTTACCCACAAGCATAAAGAATTACATATATTAGAAACCAACACTTTCTCATTACTTTATTTTCCAGATCAACAGACTGGGCCACAGCAACGTGTGGCAGGGGACAGCTAGTTTTAAATAATTTTATAGATGAAAGCAAAGGTGTCATTATCTCAGTGAGCCTTGTGGACAATTTGGGGGGTTTCTTTGGAGGATTTTGGAATTCCAGATAAGGGATGATCAACCTCTACTGCGACAACAGTTGGTGGATGCATCTGCTGTGCATAAGTTGTGCGTCTATTTCTGTGCTTAAAAACACAACTGGACTCTTCTTATTTTATAACAAATAGTGTATATGAACTGACAAACAGCCCTTAATTCATCTCTGGCATAATACTGGGCTTCAACAGAATTCTTGTAAGTGGCTAGCAATACCACTTACAACCTCCAAATATTATCAAGTCACAAGAATGAACACCAGCATTTTATCTGCTGTGAAAAAGATGCAACCTATTCCTAGAGACCAAATACCGATTTTTATTTCTTGTTTAAACAAAGAACTATGCTGCAAAATGTGGAGAAGTGTGCAATATAGCTTGATTTGCATATTAGGTCAGGAAATTAAATGAGAATTCAAAGGGAAATCAGTATCCAGTACTAACTCTGCTTGCATAATTAGTCTACTGCCCTATTTTCACTTTAAGTTATCACCTCCGAATAAACAACATGTTCAGAGATGCAAGATGTTGTTATTGTGGCACAAACATTAAGTAACAATAATGAACTTGCACTTGTTACTTACGTAAAGTATTCACTCCCTTTACAGTTAGACTAGACACCCCTCGGGGATCCTTCCAATAGAACAATTTTATCTTTGTATGATTCCCCATGTGAAAGGACACTGGAGTTAAAAAGCAGAATAAGCAGAGCACTGAAGTTTTATTGGCAGATTTTATTCCAGGATTGTAAAGTCCCTGTCTAACATCTGAAATATACTTCCAGTATTGTTATCTGTTCAGAAGTGACACCTCTTTGAGTTATAACTAAATTGCAAGAGGAAATATTTGCCCTTTAAATTAAATTCAGAAACTTTCTTTGTCCATAAATTACCGTAGTTGGATGAATTACAAATAATAATAATAATAACAATAATAATAATAATAATACTTTATTTATACCCCGCCACCATCTCCCCAATGGGGACTCGGGGTGGCTT